CCAGCTATGTGTGAGCTGCATTTTGGTGTTCCAATGGCTGGGGCAATACTTTGTACACTTAATATACGTCTTGATTCAGCCATGGTGGCTTTTCTGCTGAGACATTCAGAGGCCAAAATCATTTTTGTTGATTACCAGTTTCTCCATATTGCTCAGGGAGCTTTTCAAATACTGTCCAAGGCCGGCACAAAGCTGCCTCAGCTGATCTTGATCCAAGAACCTGAACAGCAAGCTCCCATCAGCAGCGAAACCAATTTTACACCAACAAAAGACTTGGAATATGACAATTTTTTAGCCATGGGAAAAGCAGATTTTGAGATCAGAAGGCCCAAAGATGAATGGGAACCTATCTCGCTTAATTACACATCTGGCACGACATCGAGTCCCAAAGGCGTCGTTTATAGCCATAGAGGTGCCTATCTTAATTCTCTGGCAACAGTTCTTAGTAGTGAAATGGGATCAATGCCTGTATATCTATGGACTGTCCCCATGTTTCATTGCAATGGATGGTGCCTCGCATGGGGTATGGCTGCACAAGGTGGCACAAATATCTGCTTAAGAAAAGTCACCGCAAAGGGAATATTTAGCAATATTGCTCTGCACACGGTGACCCACATGGGTGGCGCACCAACAGTTTTAAACATGGATGTTAAATGCTCCTGCTAGTGACCAAAAGCCGCTTCCAGGGAAGGTATTGGTAATAACAGGTGGCTCAGAAGCACCTCCAAATGTTCTCTTCAAGATGGAGGAACTAGGATTTAGTGTGACTCAATTGTATGGGTTGACAGAAACCTATGGCCCTGGAGTGTTTTGCACCTGGAAACCTGAATGGAATGTCCTGCCTCAAGATGCACAGGCTAAGATCAAGGCTCGGCAGGGGTTGTACCATGTTGGGTTGGAGGAAGTTGATGTTAAAGATCCTGTTACCATGAAGAGCGTTCCAGCTGATGCAAAAACCATGGGGGAGGTTATGTTTAGGGGTAACACTGTCATGAATGGATACCTGAAAAATGTTGAAGCAACAACAGAGGCTTTCCGTGGTGGATGGATTCCAAA